CTTCTTGTTTCTAGTTGCGTGGCACTTGTTCCTAGTAGCTTCTTGTTACTACTAGTAAGGCACTTGTTTCTAGTTGCGTGGCACTTGTTCCTAGTAGCTTCTTGTTACTACTAGTAAGGCACTTGTTTCTAGTTGCGTCCTCTTGTTCCTAGTAGCGATGCCCTTTGCTCCTAGCGATCTTGAGACATGTTACGTCGGACCTCAAGGACCCTGGTCGAAAAAAGAAGGTCCCTAGCCACCCTGTCGAAGAAAGGTGTCAAAAGCCGCCGTCCGCTTCGTTCGCGCCGTGGCGCTTTTTCGGTTTCGACGCTTCAGTCACAACCCTGAATTGCAGTGCCCAGAGGGAGTGGTACAGCTTCTGGAGAGCTGTCAAAACGAGGCCCAGTGGCCTACTCCATGGCATTCTGCTACTATACAATCACATTTGACATCGTATTCTCACTACTTGACATCACTTGACATCCACACTTCTTGCAACTCTTGCTGCAACATCATCTGCTTCACTCATTCGTCACCTTCTCTTCGTTTGGCCCCGACTCTTTCATCTCTTTCTCGAAGGACACGTCTTTCATGGCGGTGCTGGAGGGAGTTTCGGCCTCCGTGCTCTCGGTCCGCTCGGTCCGTTCTGTGTGGACCTCGGTTCCGTTCGAGAGCTTGTTGAAGGCGATAGCGGATTCGGCGGTTCCACCGGGAGAGGTCGGGAACGCGGGAATCACGGTGCCTCCGTTCATTCCGATCATCTGCATGCCGCCCATGGGGACATTCATGCCCATTAGCGGCATCTGGCTCATGAGCTGTGGGCACATGACCATGGGGACCATCTGTGTCATGAAAGCTGTTCTCATCTCTGACTCAATGGCTGCGACGTTTTCTTCGAGCTTGAACTGTTTGGTGCAAAGGTCTTGCAAGGACTCGTAGATCTGATGGAACTTGGCCGTTTCATTCTTTTCAAAATCCTCAAGTGCCTCAGCCATGCTCTTCTGCGCTTCCTGAAGCTTCTGTTCGACATCTGACAATGAAGGTCCCACGTTGCACATGGTGAATCCCTCAAACAACGACCTTCTCAACGAAGCCTTCTGATGTATTTCGAAGCACCCGGAGAAAGTCCCGGAGCCCACTCTTTTGCACAATCTACGGCCAGAAAGATGGGACCTCTTCGCAGCTGCGGTCACATGTAGGTAATCGGCACGTGTCTTTCTTTCGGCACGTGTGTTTTAGCATGTAGCCATTACTATGTAGCCGTGGCAAATAGCTAACTAGTAGCTTCTTGTTACTAGCAATGGTCTCCAACCTAATAGCCATGGCCTCCACCATGAGTAGCTTCTAGTGAACAACGAGAATACAACCTGCACTCTTCGGTTGAACAAATTCCCTCATTTCTCAAGCCCTGACGCGTTGACGTTCCTCCCGCATCCATTCCTGCGCCTGACTCTCCAACTCTCCAACCATGCCGCGCTCGGACGAACCATGCCAAAGGTGTCAAGCGAGAAAACCCAAATAAAAAGACCTAAAATACAATGTTTCTACTAGCTTTCTTGTTACTAGTAGTAAGGCACTTGTTGCTAGTAGCTTCTAGGTGTTTAAAAAAAGAGAGAAAAAAACTAAAGGAGGAGAACAAAGCTGCGCAAACACACCGTCTGCCAGAGTCTGTCTCCTTGTCTGACTTCTCCTTCTTAGGAATGGCCTGGCCGAACACCGAATCGAGAGATCAGGCTGCGACCTCGTCCGAAGAGGCGACCTCCAAAAGAGGCGTTCTCAAATACGTGTTACGACTAGCGATGCACTTGTTTCTACTAGCTTCTTGTTACTAGCCCTAATGCTTTCCACGGTCTTAGGTCTTGGCTGGAATCGACACCATCAATCAGAAACTTTCCCGCTTTGATCCCGTGAGAGCGTCTGCAAGCTCAAGTGCCTTCTTCCACAAGTTCTGTCTTGCTTCACCTGTCACTGAAAGGCTTCAGCCGTAGAGCCGCAGAACTGTTGCTTTCACCCTTTTTTGAGAAAAAAGGAACCCATCATGAACAGGAAGCCACTAGGAGCTAAGGGCATCGCTAGGAACAAGGACGCTACTAGGGGCTCCTGGCATCGCTACTAGGAGCAAGAAGCCACTAGGAGCAAAGGGCATCATGAAAACGAAGAAAACGCTACGCCGCTACGCCGCTGCGACTGGCACCTCCGGTGAAGGTGACGTCATAGACCTGTGCCGCCGATTTCGAGAGATCACGGGCCTTGCCGGGGGCCTAGAGATTTCTATTCATAAGCTACTAGCTTCTTGTTACTAGTAGCAATGGCCTTCAACCTAATAGCGATGGCCTCCCCCCAATAGCGATCCGCGCGACGGCCGCCAAAGAAACTTCTGTATCCGCACCTCCTTGAGAAATTGAGCCTTGCACAAAAGAATCGCGCTCATGTTGGCATCCTCTAGTTTTCAAAAAGATAAAGAGGTCGAAGCGAAAAATCGGAAAAAGACATCGGCATGCTGAAGACATTGCAAATCTGACGCGTCTCGCACAGGCCTTCTCCCGGCCTGGCACGAAGAAGTATGCGGCACATCGGCAGAACAAAGAGAAAACTGAGCCAGTAGGAGATGAACACCTAAACTCAAGACGCTTGATACAGACATAAGGATTGTCCATTAAACGTGTTGGTCGAAGCAATGAGAATCAACAAAGCCCAAAAGAAAGGAAATGAACATCTAAAGGTCCAAAGGTTTCATTGAAGAGTCTCTTAAGACAAAAACGAAAAAAACGAAAACCATTCGCTTCAGGCGCCTCGACTTATCTCTGGAAGGCTCATGGCTCTACGTCATTTTGCACTTTGACATCGACGAAAACATGAAGAAAAAAGGGATCTCAACATGTCCAAAACGATGCCGTTCTAAGGCCGTCTAAGACCGTCTAAGTCGTCCTCTGCGGCCCTTTCTTCGTCGTCACGTCGTCACGTCGTTGGACACGTCGTTCCGCGTGAATTGGGAATCTCGTTCCGCTGAGCCAGGCTGAGGTCGTTAGACCGTCAAGGTTAGACCGTGAAGAGTTAGGTTTTTGTCCTTTCCGCTCAGAGGCCATCGCTAGGAGCAAAGGACGCTACGAACGGCGCTCCCGGCATCGCTACGAACGGAGCGATCGGACGCTACGATCGGGGCGCTCCTGGCCTTACTACTAGGAACAAGAAGCTATTAGGTTGGGGGCCATTCGCTCATCTCATGGCTCGATCTTGGGACCTTGTCTTTTCCCAGTAATGGCCTCCAACCTCCTCGCTAATTGCTCCTAGTAGTATGGCCAGGAGCCCCGAGTAGCATCCTTGCTCCTAGTAGTAAGGCCAGGAGCCCCTAGTAGCTTCTTGTTACTAGTGGTAATGGCCTCCAACCTAATTTCCTTCTCAACACATGTCCGTCCTCGTTTGGTCTCTCTTCTGCACTCCCATTTTCTAGCGAGACTTGAGAGCCTCGTCTGGCGGAAGCAAGTCCAACACCTGGCGACGCCATTTCACAAAAAAGGAAAACACCTTTGACACACACACCAAAAAAGAAAATACTTTTGTTTATTGACTGTTTGTTCAAACCGAAAGACTGCGGCCCACACATTTCCTCTCGACAGGTGGTCCTGCCACGCAATTGGCACGTGAACCACAAAAAAATAACGTTGGAATTGCGAATATGTGCGTTTGGCGCCAGTCATCGCGAATTCTCCTGGTTGATGTGTGCTCTGTAATTGTTGGTCTCAGGATTCAGCGACGCCTCAAAACGCACGGCGCGGTGCGGTGCGTCGAGAGGAAGCACCGTCGCTGCGGCAGGCCGGGGATCCGCGTGGCCTGAATGACTTCGTATCGAATCATGTCAGTGCCGGACTTCAGGTCTTGAACCTCGCGAAGCAACAGCCATCTTCATAACTTGAACAAAACAACCTGAAAGGAACTATAACTTCTACGAATCGAAAGGAAAGTCTTCAGCTGCCAAACCTTTGGTAGGACGCGCACCAAAGCATCTTCTGACATTTGCGAAGCATGCTGGCGCAAGGTGCGTGCAGTCTCCGCCCTGAACTTGGCCGAGAAATGTCAAAACCGTGATGCCGTGATTGGGTGTCACCAAGCGTGGTGTCGACGAGTCGCCTCAGTTTCTGCTGGGCAAACTTGTCGAAGGCGAAGGTGCTTTGCACCGCGCGGCAAAAGTCGCGATACCTCGGACCGGTGTCTTTACTACTAGGAGCTAAGTGCATCGCTACTAGGAACAAGTGCCTTACTACTAGGAGCTAAGAAGCTACTAGAAACAAGTGCCTTACTACTAGGAGCTAAGTGCATCGCTACCAGTAACAAGTGCCTTACTTGTAGTAACAGGTGCCTTACCAGTAGTAACAAGGACGCTAGTAGAAACAAGTGCCTTACTTGTAGTAACAGGTGCCTTACTAGTAGTAACAAGGACGCTAGTAGAAACAAGTGCCTTACTTGTAGTAA